GCAGGCTGGTTGTTTGGTTTCCCAGCGTCCTAAGTTCTAACATGGCGTGGATCTCAGGAGCTGCTGCTGGTTCTCCTCCTTGAAGGGCCGCAGTCTGCCACACCCCCAGCGCTTACCAGGGAGGGGAGGTGCTTGCTTCCCTTCCCAGTGTCCGAGGTTCCAACATGGTGCAGACCTCCGGAGCTGCTGCTGGTTCTCTCCCTGGAAGGGCCCCAGTCTGGCACACCACCACCGCTTACCAGGGAAGGGTGGTGCTTGCTTGGCTTCCCAGTGTCCGAGGTTCCAACATGGTGCGGATCTCAGGAGCTGCTGCTGGTTCTCCCCCTGGAAGGGCTGCAGTCTGCCACACCACCACCGCTTACCAGGGAAGGGAGGTGCTTGCTTGGCTTCCCAGTGTCCGAGGTTCCAACATGGCGTGGATCTCAGGAGCTGCTGCTGGTTCTCCCCCTGGAAGGGCTGCAGTCTGCCACACCACCACCGCTTACCAGGGAAGGGAGGTGCTTGCTTGGCTTCCCAGTGTCCGAGGTTCCAACATGGCGCGGATCTCAGGAGCTCCTGCTGGTTCCCCCACTGGAAGGGCTGCAGTCTGCCACACCGCCAGCACTTACCAGGGAGGGGAGGTGCTTGCTTGGCTTCCCAGTGTCCGAGGTTCCAACATGGTGCGGATCTCAGGAGCTCCTGCTGGTTCCCCCCACTGGAAGGCTCAGTCTTGGTTTAGAGTTCTTTTAAGGAGTCATTGCCCCTGTGTCCAGATAAAGACTTTTTAAATGCCCTGTATGTTATACTAGTTAGAATTTTTAAAGTTTTATCCTTAGCTCCTGCTATTTAATAGAGAGGAACTATGAACTTCACTGCATTCTGTAAATAGAGCCAGGACAGCTGTGTTCCTATTGGAAAACACATGTGTACCAATATTTAAGTACATATATATTTATATAAATTTATATATTATACATATCTATATCTATCTATCTATATATATATATATATATATATATGTATATTATATAACATGTCTTCATCTGCATGTCTTCATTCAATGTGAAGTCACTCCATGACCCAAACAACTCTAGTGATCATATAATCTATGTGCAAATCTGAAGATACATCACTTACCTTAGGGCCTGTGATGTTCTACAAATCCAAACAGAAATGAAGATTAGAAAAACATAAGTATGAATTCATTTCTGACTTTAAAGTCATGAGAGGAAAAACTGATAACACCATATTTTATTTGTATCTGCAAACCTTATTTTACATAGAAGCTGAGGCATTTATAGGGTCTCCTTAGAACACATGGAAAGATGATCCTACCCACAATTACTTAGAGAGTCCATAACACCTTGATTTCAGTTGAGTAGCTATATTTACATATTCTTTTCTCTGTTTGATTTTTTTAGTCATATACAGAAAATGATCCTTCATTTTCACCCAGAGAAGTTGGATGCTATTACTGTAGATAGTATTCAGGCCCTGCTAGCTTTCTCTTCAGTAACAGAAGTGGAGCTTTAAAAACGCCAGGTTGTTATTGTGGCGGTTACTAATGTTTCCTGTTTAGAAATACTGTATAAACACCCTTTGCAGACTGGCTATCGATGAGTCTTTAGTTCTTTATTGCTTTTATAGGTCAGCCTGCTAACATTCTCTGATTCTTGTTTCGGGGGGAAAAAGTATTGTTTGCTGCCATCATTCATTTAAGTTTACATAAATACTTTCATTGAAGCTATAGAAAGTTGACTGCTTTTTATTGTGAAAATAAAGTGTAAAAACTGTTCTCGAAGTTATTTCTAAACAGAATTTTTATCTAATCTTAATGTAAAAGAATTGTACATGAATAGTATTTAACATTATGCCTAGGAATACTGCATTTTCTAGGATTTGACAATTTTAGGCTAAAAACTATATTTATTATATTGCTGTATTTTATAGATGAACATATGACTACTAAAGCAATCATGCTATAAGTAGCATGTCGTTTGTTCCTAAAGTCTATTGGTCTAACAGAGTGATGCAAAAATAATAATAAAGATATTTCACAGCAAATTTTGGGGGTTAAGTGGAGACTATAATTCACAAGTTATCTTATCGTAAATCCTAAGAGAAACACCTGAGGTGAATATTCTTGGGGTAAATGAGAAAATGTTAAAGAGAGACATGTTTCCCCCTTTTCATACAGTGTTTTGTTTCTTTGTTTAATTTTTCAAAACAATGTTGCTTATGTAGTTCAGGTTGGCCTTGACCTCCATTTGACCTCGAACCCTTGGTAATCCTTCTGTCTCAACCTCCCTTCCAAGTGCTGTAATTATAGGCATGCATTACCATGCCCAGCTCTTTTGATCGGACTTTCATAGTACCCATAGTTCTCTTTTAGCAGATGCTTACTTTACTACAGTGGTACCATACTAATTCCTTTAATAGCCATGACCCTGATCTGCATAACCAACTCTTTAAAATAGGTAATCTGATCACTGATTTATACACAGAAAAAAATGTCACTTGTTTAAAATCACAGATTGAAGAGATTTAGCTGGAATTGTGTTCCAGAACTTTCTGATGGCCAAAGCAAATTACTTTAGCCATCATCCTGCCTCGTAACTCAGCTGTTGTCCAGAAGTCCATGACCATAGTCTGTAGATCATAGGTGACACAAATAGATTTTCATAGCACTTGTCACCACTTAACAAAGGCTGACTCCATAGACCTCAACCTTATAACCATCCTGCGGCACTGGCTTCTGAAGGGTAAAGTTTATAGTTATAGGGCACAAAGAAAAGGATCTGTTACTGAGAAGATATTTGTGATGTATCATTTTATCAAGACAACAAAAGAAACTTACCCTACCTGTTTTTCTTTTCCATGGGTTGTTATGTCAGTGTCTTCAAGTAAGGATTAACAAGTAACTAAGTTGTTTACTTTGCTTGCTCAAAATAATAATAGCCTGTTAGTGATTGTGTTTCATATATCCATAAATAATATGAAACAGTCTTGAACATCTGATGTCCTACACTGCACCAATACTACTTCATACATCATTCCCTATTACATCTCCACTAACAAAAAATTAATTACATAAGGATTAACTTACATAAAGAAATTTACTAATACATTTTTTTGAATATTACTGCAATATAATATTGCTCATTAATAGAATATTTCTGACCTGTTTTCTTGCTTTTATCCCCCGCAAAGTTCTTGAATTTTATTATGTTTATATATGCATATATAGACATTCTATATGTACATATTTTTAATGCTTTTAAGTGATTAGTGTTTTGTGGGCCAGACCTGTCTCGAATTATCTTTTAGTACATCACAATGCTAAGCACAGCATCTTGCACTTCATAGATGCTTATTGAATGTTGTTGGCTTAGTGAATAAGTTAGTTTGTACTAGTGTGAACAGATTTGTAGCCCTAAATTTTTTGCCATAATTTCACTTTTCATAATTAGAGTTTTATTAGAATGATTAAAAATGTGTTATTGAATTAGTATCGTAGATTCTAGAGCAGTGGGATAAAAAGATCCTACCTGTATCCTTATGAGGAAACAGTGAGTTTTTCATGGTAGGTGTATTTAGGGGATTTTATAGTGATCGAATTAATTTACTTCTCGAGAAGATTAATGATTTTTACATAGCACTTTCTAATTTTTGCTTTTAACCCTACCTTGTCAACTAAAATTTCTCTATCATAAAGTCATGTTTATTGTAGACAATTAACTGTTTATGAAAGTAAAAAGAAAAATACTGTACTCCTTGATCTTATCATTGTTATAATGTCTTAATATTTGTTTGTATTCTTTGTTTCTTATACATGATTTCATATTATTCATATGATTGGTATTCTATACTTTTATACAATGTTATAAGATTTCAATACTATAAATTAACATTTTTCTAAAAATTGATATACTCTTTAAATGTAGCTTATGAATTGTTGCCTCCATGTGAGAGGCTTAATTACTTTGTATCAGCATTTAGATTATTGATAGTTTGTCACTATCATAAAAATTATTTTTCCATAAATTTCTATCATTTTTGTAGTATTATGGTAAATTTCTAGAGCTAAAATTACTGACTAAAATTTTTGAACTTCTGATATCTTATACATATTACTCAGTAACTTTCCAGATATAGTTTAGCAATTCATGCTCCCATTAGAATTATCAATATTAATTTACTGAACCATCATCAAAAGATTGTTATTTATATACACATTTTAGCAAGTATTATTCAGTAGACCTGTTGACTTTAATGTATTGGAAATAAGAATTCTGCTGAAACATACATTAATTAAATATTTTGCTGTACATGTTTTATAACATTCTTAGTTTCCAGAATTTAGTTTGGAGGGTGCATATTACAACACAGCTTCCATTTAGATCCAAAGATTTTGCAGGTCTGATTATTAACATTGGTTTAAGCTAGATTTGTATAATCATTGCATTAATACTTGTATTAATGTTAGTTTTGTCAGAATGTGTTGAGACAGTGCTACTTTGGTGTTAGCATTCTTTCTTGTGGTGATCAGTTTCATTTCTGTTTACTGTCATGGCAACGTTAGTGAGCAAAGTTTACTTTTATTTACTTAAGCATTTTTACTTTTATTTACTTATGCATTCATCTGAGTGCAGATGATTCAGAGTAGTTTCTTTTCAAAGAACAGTGGTCCGATTTGTATTAGGAAAACAATAGTCTTGCAGGAATATAAAAATTATTTTTAAGTATCTGCCTCATCCACTAGTGAGAGTATTTGCATTTCAGAGGTCATAGTGAATCTCAATCCCTTGCAAGTAGTTTCTTTTGATAAAACTGCTAAGGGACTGTCAGTTCACACATGTGAATTTAGAGTGATCTGAAATATATTGTAGGGAACGTAAAGATATAAAATAATTCACCTTATTCATTCACTGCAGTCTTCTCTAAAGGAATTGTCTCAAAGTAAATACTAGTTCTTGCTTAGTAAATTAATATGTATTTATAACATTTATTTTGCATTTCAGAGTACCAACTAAAGTGCAGTCTGTTTGTGCCTCAGAGCCGAACAGGTATGTACACGAATTACCTATTGCTCTGTAAATCTGTGCGCTGTGGAGTTATTACATTTTTATGTTAAAATTGCTTATAGATTTCATAAAAGAAAAATGTTCCTTGCAAATATTGACAGCTTCAAAGAACAATATGTTTTATACATACATTGAATTTCATTTTATTGTAAGACTCAGATAAACATTTCTAAGATTTGACGAGGCAGAATAATTTTAATTACAAAGCATTCATCTGGTGAAGATTAGACAGTGTTTTATGGAACTGTACTATTAAAATGACTGATGATGTGGGATTGGACTATTGCAAAACCACTGTTTTTGACATTATTGCTGTATATTCAAACTTTTTTCTTGCTTTGAATTTATTTTGTGTGGGTGTTACTTTAGGTAAGGAGTGGTTGCAGATGTACTGTCTGCTGCATTGTCCCAAGCACCAGACAAATGGGAAAAAAAGTTTGCACCTGTTTAAAATCTCAGCCATGCAGTGTTGTGGATCCTGGGCAACAGGCAGGCATTTTCAAAAGCTTGGTTGCACCTGCTCAATTGTTGCTTGCAGCTGTGTCATACGAGAACACAGTGAAGCTTGTTAGCAGTTTGCTTGTGCTGTAACGTATTTGTATTTTGTGTACTTTGAGTTTGAAAGATGCTTACTTGATGTAGACCTTGAGCTGTTGCATTGGTTTTAGCTCACAATTATTTTCTCCAAATCCTGTTTTGTGTTTCAAATATTTTGTAAGTGGCTGCTTACTGCCCTGGATAATGTGCATACTGACTTTTCCAAAGGATACCTGGGAAAGTATATCTCTCCAGATAATTGTGTTGATAATAATTTTTGTCCTGGTAGAGACATTTTGCATTTGGCTCATTTTCACCATGTTGGCAGCCCCACTATGTGAGGCTGGATGTAGTTATTGATCCATTTAGCTGAACAGATTTGAAAGCATTTGGCTATTAGTGGACACATGGGGCATATTCAGAAAATTTAAAGGTATATTGTAAGATGATTTCTTGATTTGGGCTGTGTCTCTGTTGCAGTTGGGTGGGAAATAAGAGAGAAAAAGTGAAAATTAAATAGTAATCCTAGATGACAGACTAAAATCCAGATGTAGATTTTAAGGCTCTATGTTATCCTTCAAATGCTAGATGCCTGGTGTTTTTTTCGGTTAAGTCTTTTTGATAGTGCTATTTTTGTCTCTTTTTCTTAGTACTTTTTATATAGTCTTTGACTAATGCCTATATTTTAACAATCTAGATAAACAATTATAAACTATTTAAAGTGAAGTAAAGTTATCTAAATGTGATATAAATGTAGTTAATTTATTCAGTGGGTCCAAATTCATGAAATAAAAAATTTCTTCAGATGCCTTGCATTCTCTTTAATATATAAAAAATGTTAAGGAGTTTGCATTAATGCTTAGTAACATAAATCTTCAAGCTTGGAATTGGTTTATCTTTTATTTGTATTGGGCCATTTGAAAGATGTAAAAAAGATCACCACAATATCAATGTATATAACCTCTTGGGATTGTGCAACATAATCACAATAGTAAATGGAGGGTTGGCCATAGCCCCTTATGCAATGCCTTATACATAGTAGTTGTTCAATAAATGAATGAATGCATGTATGAATAAAGCATTTCTTTGTATTAGAAATTGAGGGATAGTGTCCTACGTATATATTACTTGTTATATATTTTGTATGAATCTCTGTAGGCTTTTATTGATGATTACAAAGATAAAAATAATGATAAATTCTCTTTGTAAAATAGGAAATTAAATGATTTGAACCTTTCATTATTAGAGATCAAGTTTTAAAGTACTAATATTTGCTTTATACTCACTTTACTGACTATGGTAAAGTCTTTTTATTATCCCCCTTATGCACATGCACACGAGGCTGAGACACTAATGGGTATTTATCACCTTGGAAACTCCTTACAGCATAGGGATAAACAAATCTGTTTTGTGTGACTAATTCTTTTACCTGCCTGAGCACTCACTATGCCCTCTCCCCCTACTTCCATCTCACTAAAAACACAAACATATATGTGCAATGACCTTTGGATTAGGTAAGTGAAAACATATTTAAAAATTGAGGCTGTTTTAATAAACATAATAGTAGAACTTGTTTACTGTATACAGTACATGTTTACGAGTATGGTTTTACTAAGTTCCAACTGTAAATGCATGAAGTCAAGCAAAAGTCAAAATAGAACAGAGTCAAAACAGAAGAGCTAAATTCTGCTTGATAAGGTCCTTCCAAATTTCCAGTTTTTCATAGTGTGATGCATTGATTTTGGAATGGCTGATGTTATAAAATAAACTTGTAATTACTGCATCAAAATGTCTTGTTTAGACTTTTCAAATTTTGTTACCTCTTGTTGATAATATTCATGAATACTTTCACCCTAAAAGTGACTTTTATATGGAACAATTTTTTTTTCATTTCAATTTATGCCAATGGTAAAGGACAATATGGATATCATGGTCTTCCTCGTGAACCTTAGTATGGTAGATTATACTGTATCCCTCTGTCACTCTCAGCATTAAACATTAAGAAATCAGGGGACAATGTGGACTGGCTAGAATATTAACGATTAAATTGATTGACTTATTTTAGTTTGTATCTGGGGATGGTTTTGATTTCTTCACAAAGAGAGTAAGATAGGCCAGGCTTATATGTAAGTTTAGGTGCTTTGAAAGACTCTCCCAGTACTTTATATGAATCAGTATCTTAGAAACAATTGATTCTACTGAGGGTATCCAAATTCTGAATGTCTTACTCATGTTTGATTTTAGGAGCTTTCAGTTCTACCTGGCCACTTAAATCTGAGTTCCACAATTCAGTACATGTTTGATCGTAACAAGGTTAACTAAGCTTATGAAGCCTCAAGTGTCCCTATTTATCATATTCTACCTTTATAGTGATAGATACCAAGTTTAAAGTAGATATATGAATAAAATACTTTATTTGGTACATGATATCCACTAGTGTTCCCTGCATGTTTCTCTCTTGTAAAAATATGAAATTATGATGAGCAGTCTAGAAATTTGGAGAGGGAATGGAATTTATTCTTTAAATAAAGTTAATTTTTGCAACATTATGACTCTAATGAAAGTGTTGAGTATCTCAGTTCAGCACAATTGGATTCAAAGTATCTAACTGTGCATGCTGTTTAGTGTGGGGATAATTACATTCACCTTCATGCTGTTTGATTCTAGAATCATGTTGGAAGACATGTTAATACAACCCAGGACAACTGTCATTCATGTTTTGAAGGTCAGATATTCTTAACACTAGCCTGTAAAACAATGACTGTGTACATGCCAGTATACTCTTACAGGCATTGTGGCAAAGAGGTGCTTCTCTTGGCAAGGTTGACACAATCTAAGCAGACTCAGGTTTAGCAAGTTTAGCCGTCAATGTTAGTAGACCACTATGTTGTTACTTTTTTTGTTATTCTGAAAGAAATTTGTGTAGTAAAATGCCCTGATTCCCTCCAGTGAAAATTCCTTCAATAGTAGAAAGGATTTATGGATATATATATCCTGATTATGTTTAATAAATACTAAACAATCTTAATAACAATTAACTATTTCCTCCACTTAACTGTAGGTATTTAAGTAGTACTATCTTCCTGAACAGCAGTTAGGAAAAAAGATTTCTTTAAAAAGGGGCAAAACACTAGATAACACAATTTATCCTTACTCAGCACAGATAATAAAGTTAATGTGTCTGAGGTTGAATGTACAGTTCTGACTATGATGAACAGAGGGTAAAACCTGATAATTGTTGAAAGTTTTATTTAGTTGGATGTCAGCTTGGTAAGGTTGTTGTACCAAAGAACCATGAACTTAGTATCTTAGGTAGACATTTGTGGTCTCATAGTTAGAAGTCTGCCATCAAGGTTTTTGAGAAGATTTACTTATTTGAGACCTTGCACTTTATAGATGGCCATCATTTTTCTGTATCTCTTCACATTTCCTTCCCTCTGTGAGTGTCTATGTTGGTTGTCTAAACTTCTTTTATTATAAGTCAAGTTATTTTTATTATAATTCAAGTTATTTTAGGGTCTACACTAATGAACTCATTTTAACTTGATTATTTATGTAAAGATCCCTCTGCCTTCAAATAAAATAGTGAGGTTGAAGATTAGGACTGTAACATATGTTTGGGGAGATGTAATTTAACTCATAGTAGATAGGTTAATGGTGAACATTTGTATGGTATATATTTGTGTGTGTATATATATATATATATATATATTAGGTAGTTTTTATTTGCTGCATGATAAAGTATAAACACTTTGTCCAAATACACACTGCTAATGAATATTAATTGAAAGCACTTTAAATCAGCATTCTACACTGTTTTTTAAGGGGATAAACTTTGCAATAACTCAATCAAAAGCCTCAAATTACCTTGAGCACTCAAAGTTGTGTTTTTTTGTTCATTTTGTTTTGTCTTTACTACTGTGCCACAAGCCATTTTATCCGTTTAAAAATAGTGTGTTATGTTATTGTATAAATATGCAATTATTGACTGTCTACATATTAACTCCTCGTTTTTTTTGCTGACTGTTGTCCTTGAATGCTTAGTGTTTTAGCTGTCTTGAGCCTGTTGTAGCTTTTAGAAAGGCTGGATTCTGAATGCAATTTTCCTGGTTTGCTTCTGGCCCCCAAATGTGTGGACGTGGATAGCACTGAGAAGCGAGTCATGTCTGGAATCTGTCACTAAGCACATGTGCTTCCCCCTGCCTTATTTTTATTCTTTGTATTTACCAGGTAATTTTTGAATTTTTTAAATTTTACAATCGTGGTCATAAGTGACAGACATTGAAAGGGGATGGATGTGAGTGACAAAACAGGGACTATCTGTATTTACATGAAAGCCAGTGCGTTTGTTGGTGTGTACCATAACCTGACCACAGTCTTATTGTTACTTACACTAAGGAACATGGGACATTATGTATCTCACATAAGTTTTCTATTTTACCCAA